CTTGGCTCCCAAAAGTTTCTGGATCATTCAGGCTTGATGGATGAGTTCAATGAGCAGAGCTAGGAGTGGTATTCATATCATAACCAAACAGCTGGAGGCAGCAAGCCTGCCTTTTACCACTAGAGAAGTCTCCCATCACATGTGGGAGTAGCTGACATCACTCTGTGCTCAGTCTCTTCTTAGTCCATCTCTGGGCAAGTACAGGAGGCCATTACAAGAGACAGGGTCTCCACTGAACAGACCTCTTTGGGTCTGACCTGGCACAGTCTCTCTCATGTCCAACAACCCTGCTCTGATTTCTTTACCACAGGCAAACCATGCAGGCAGGAAAAGCAGGCAGTTGCCAGCTCTTACCACACCTTTCCTGCTCCCTACCCACCTCTGGTGCAAATTTGGAGGACAGAGATTTGGAAGTTCTTCTACTTACCACTTTCCCTTACAAACCCCATAATGAGGGTCAGTTTTGCTTAGCTACAAAAGATTACCACAGCAGGAAACACTAGGGAAGGAGCACATCAGTTACCACAGAACGAGAGAGATCTCCTACCCTTTGTTTCTGTTTTTGGTATTTTTCTTACCAAAATTTGTAACAAAACAGACAACATGACACCATATTTCAAAATGAATTTTCAGCTATTATGCAGAAGCCACAATCAGTGTGTTACAGTTGAAAGAGGAATAGCAGAATAATCTCTTCAGGTTAAAGTGAAAAATCAAACAACAAAAAAAGTCAATGGACAGCAAGCAGTATGTTATTGTGATCCCATGAGGAAGTGTTTTACCTCTTTTGCAAAGGATATTTTGATCAAAAGATGGGGCAAAATAAAAGAAAGGTTAATAACTGCAGATTTCTAGAGCCTTTTTATCTACGGAAATAAAATATTTTAGCTTTTTTTCTTTTTTAAACCACTTCCCCCCTTTTCCAAAAATCATTAATACTTTATCAGTTGTGGTCCAGTGCTAGTGCTTTCTAAAGAACGTCATGAGGGGAGACACACTGCACTCAGAGATCTGCATCGGAAATTAGACTCACCAGAGCAAATAAGAACTTTAAATAATGCCAGCAAGGAAAGCAGAAGGGTATGAAGATGCTTTGAAAGACGTGTGATTAATTTTGTTCTCTGCTAGAATTTTAAACCAGCCTAGATTCTTCACCACTTTAAATAAGAATTTCATGTTACTGAGGAAAACCAAAACCTTTTGATAATCATTTTCAGGTACAGTGAACAAAACAGTAAGAAAAATCTTACCATTTTATGGAAATACTAGTCTTTAAATCTACCTTCTTGAAAGCTGGTGCTTTACTGTCTGACAGTCAGAGTCCCAGATACATGAGCACAAGATGACTACTCTGTGAGATGAGAAAAAATCAAGGGACAAAAAAGCTTTGGAAAATGTTTTTGATGTACAAGCAGTAGTAGAGCACACATAGCTGTGGTGATGCGCGGCTGCAGTTCCCAAAGTAATGCCCACATGTCTCTGGGCCAAACAAAGAAATAAAAACATTTAATGCACGTCAGTATTGAGGCCAGTATACAGAGCTGCTCTGCCATACATCTCCATGGGGACCTTACCTCCTCCTCCTTAAGCTTTTGCCTCCGTTTTTCTTCAACAGCTGCTCTCTTCTGCTCTTCTCTCTGCCTCTGCTCCTCCAGTCTTCTCCAGCGTTCCTCAATTTGTTTTTCATATTGAAGCTTTGCTCTTCTCTCCTTCTCCAGTATCTGCTGTTCCCTAGCAGCTTAGGCAGATAAAAAGCTGTGTTTCACTTTATGCAAATTTTCTCCTGCTTTAGAACTATCTGATAACATGACACAATAGAGTAATATAACAAATACAAGGACACAGGGTTTTAGTCCACTAAGATAAAAAAAATATAGTGCACAGAAGCACTGAAATGATTAGTAAATCTAAGTGATTTGTTCAATAAATAAATAGGGGGGCACTTTGTATACAAGGTGATAGTTTGTGTCTCTTACTTATGCAACAACAGTACACAAAACAGTGAACTATTTTTTGCTTATGTTTCAAATCCCTCTGTAGCTTAAAGCCAAATTCTTCTTTCAGACATAACAAAAGTTCCCAGGTTTTAAAGTGAATAATTTATAAATGTTGAAGCAAAAGTCCTTGGAATTTCTTTAAATGTGCTTCTCATTATGGGGCTGCCTTCAAAAGAAATACATGAAAACAACATGTGCCAAATTTTCTATGAAGCTGTAAAAATACACCGTTCTGTGCATTATTTGGTGCTACATTGTTATCTACTTGTGCTTCTTTGCTTGAAAATAGTTACTTCTGTTATTGAGGGTTTGTCCAGTTTATTCCAACTGGAGCCATTATCCTCTTCTTGAGACATTAGCTTGTTGTTACAGAAATTCAGACTGCAACATTACACACAGGACTGTTGCTTCAGGTTTACATAGAATAACAAGTAGCAGAAGTTAATGTGACAAATCACAAGGACAAATCCACTTCTCATGCAAGTGTATTTCATAAAAAGGCAGGAAAGAGGAGTTCAAGTAAGCATGCCTACATACACACAAGCCTGTAATGTCACATACCAACAAACATACAGGCGATATCAAAGGAGGAATATTCTCACAGTTGTCAGGCTAAGAATTTGAAAGTTAGGGAAAGCCAGAATTAACACTCTTTATACAAGGGCTAGTCCTTCATCCTGCTCACCTATTCAGCCTCAGTCTGCTATTTCAGTTCCTGTTTCCTTGTGCAGCAAATTTTTGTCTAACTCTCTTTCTGTATCCTCGCATCAGACCTAGGCTCTTGCCCAGCCATCTCCACACCCTCTTCTCAGATCATCCTTTCTCCCTCAGCTCCTGCCCCCAAGGCTCTTTGACCACAGCCTTGACCCGCAGTCCCTCTTAGCTCCACTCTACCCTCAAGCCCTCTGGTTTAAAGCCAGAGTCCCTCCAACACCAGATCCTTTTCCAACAATTGCATTTCTTTCCCTTGAATACTCGATCTTCCTAAATAATTCTTCCTTACATCCAACCTGCTCTACAGACCATCTTCAACCTTATTCTTGTAAGAAATACACTTGATGTTGTCTTTCCTTCTGCCTTACAAGAATTCATTATTCCTCCTACTCCAGGACAAGGCAGTATGAGAGGGGTGTCAGTGCTGCAGGTGAGCCTGGACTCGGTACACATGAAGAACCAGACTTGTCAACAGATAAAGAACAACCTCAAAAACAGTGGAAAACAAGTGACCAGTCACTAATTGTTAATGATTACTAGCCATTGTAGGTAGAGAGGTGAAAATAGCACACTGGAGTTGATTTAAAACCAAGAATACAGTGAGGTGAGCACAAAGATTGTGTTAAGATTACCTTCTGAGTAAGCAGGCGAAACCTGGGACTGATTCTGGACAGAGAAACAAACCATTCTGTCAACATGGACATACATAAAATTCTTGATCCTCAGGTTTAGGGATACTAAAGTACTGATTAATGAGCTTTGGAGAAAAGGTTATTTCACATTGCTGCAAAGTACCTGTTGGCTAGATAAAGATCTGTACGTCTGGGGAACTTGCTTCTTTTTCTGAGCTTCCAAAAGAAATTTGCCACCAACAAACTGTGATCAAAGTCTAGAGCTTCCCATTCTAGAAATGGTCTTCACCCTAAAAAACTATGCTTCCAGAAAGCACGTACAATTCTGGAGACAAGAACTGCAGCCAACACCTTCCAAATCCCCTGGGCCAAACCACTCCCAGACTCTCCAGCTTTCAGTTTCCTTCTAATCTCTTCTTCTGCTTTTTAATCCAAATTCTTTCCAATCTATGCATCATCTCACTTTCTCAGGAACCAGGAAAGAAGGGATAATTGAAAGGACAGAAGAGATGGTCTGGACTGAGTATACCTGGAAGACATATAAGCTACAACTCACACTAGTCCATGCCCCATATAGACAGAACCTCTGGGGAGATGAAGTACTGAACACCAGCAGATTTTCACAGGAACTACCAAAAGGCATCTTGCTCACCAAGCCCACAGTGATAACAAATGCCAAGTCACTGGTCTCAAGCCTCAGGTTTTGTCAAGAAATGGTCAACAGTTAGTTTATTGCAAGAAAAATGGTATTTTCCTATGATTCTTTTTGTAAGTCTCCATAATGTTTTTGTTGACATTTCCTCAATACATAAGCCTAGCTTAGTTTTGGCAAAATCATAAAACACTGACAATTTCTCCTGGCAGGTATTGTCATGTAACCTGAAGGAACAGTGCTGCCTGGCCTTTCTTGCTATCACAATAAGGAAAAGTAAAGCTAATTGTTCAACATTTTATATATATGTATATATACACACACACACACACACGTATACATACATGTTGCAGTACCTGAAAGGGGCCTGTAAGAAAGCAGGGGAGGGTCTATTCACAAAGGTTTGTAGTGACATGACAAGGGGTAATGGCTTTAAGCTGGAAAAGGGTAGATTTACGTTTGACATTAGTAAAAAATTCTTTAATATGAGGGTGATAGGCTATGGGAATAGGTTGCCCAGACAAGTGGTGGAGGCCCCATCTCTGAAGACATTCAAGGTCTTGATGAGGCTCTGAGCATCCTGTAGGGGCTGTTGTAGAGGGGCTGGATGAGATGACCTTTAGAGGTTCCTTCCAACCCAATACATTCTATGATTCTATATATGGAGAGATATATGTGTGTGTATATATTCCAATTTCCTCAACATTTCAGTGGAGTTATTAGATGATTAAAACCAACTATTTTAAAAACTCTGAAATCAGTGCTCATAATATTCAGAAAAAGAACAAATATTTTTTCTCACTCTCTTAAAAAGTTTAACCATTTTAAAATTCATGGAAAAATATGTGCTTTATGCTGTACTTAATGCCATGGTATCTTATAATACGGCTCAAACTTAATAGGCTAAAATTGAAGTTTGTTCCACCAAATCATTCTACATATTAGCCCAAATATTATTCAAGGCTTATTATTTTTACAAATCAGAATCTTAATAGTCAGTATCTTGCACATAAATTTATATTCAAATGTACATAAATCAAAGAAGGAAATTTACTTCTAACTGTAGAATATTAAATACCCAAATGGAAATAAAAGAAAACAGATTAGTCTCATTTTTATAATTTAAAAGTAATAATATAACCTATAAAGACTAGGCACAAACTGAACCACAATTCTTCTGATCTGAATTTTAAACAATGTTGTATCAGTAAGTGAAGCCTATTGACATGTATAGATAAATAATCCATACACCTCTTGCCATCTTACCAAGGTATTTCTCCCTTTCTTCTCTTCTCTCCTTTGCCAGTCGTTGTCTTTCATCAGTTTTTAGAAATCCATCAATGGCTGAAGTCAGAGAGACAAAAAAAAGAAGCGTTAAAAGTGTTAATAAAACTAAAAAATCATCTGAAAGAACAAATAAAAACCCTACTAAAGTTAAATCACTGCATTTAACTCTCACAACAGAAATGATTTTGCATTTGTGTGTGGGCAGGTTAATAGGCTGGGACTTGGATACACCTTGAGCAGTCTCCTACCTACTGCCAAACTCCAAGCACAGTTCTTCAGTGTAAATGCCTGACTCCTCTTCTTGGAGCAAACACCCATGTTGATAGTGTTTCTTTTAAAACTTTCTTGGGAAAAACTATAAGGATGCAATTAACGTGTATTAAACTTTGTTAATAACCTCATTTTAAAGGTTTTGGCTACAGAAGAAAAAGGTAGTTCAGGAAAGCAGTATGGAGTTCTTTTATAGGCTAGTGCTATGTGGAGTCCCAGCCTTCCTATTTATGGCTTAAGCACAGCCCTAGAGCTTCCTTGCCCACAGGAAACCATGAGCACCAGCTCACTTCAAAACCAGCAATTAGTGCTGGATGAGGCTATGGAGGCAGCAGCCCTCCTGCCCTCTTTTCCAGGTAGTTTGCTTCCTCCTAGAGTTGGTATCTAAAAGCAGGTTACTTGTTTGGGAGGAGGTTGCCTCAGGATGTTTTGTACCTGGATGCAGACACCCCAGTTCTTTGGGTAGCACGAACCACCGAAAAGCCCGATTGAAGAAGGAAGGCAGAGTGTGACATGAGGTGCCTCAGGGCCACCTGCCTGCATGCCCTGGAATGAGCAGCCAGACGGACCTTCCACAATACCATGAGTAAGCTCACCAGCTAGTGACTTGATAGCCCAGCCAGAAGATGGTATCCTTTTAAAACAGCTGACAGGGCCTATAGTGCCCTCCTTTCTCTCTTGGTTTTCAGGATCTCCTGGGGTCTTAGAAGGGCTGCAGTGTGAATAGGCAGTGTCTCACAGCACAGTTTACATCCTTTGAAATCATTATTTGGGCTCCCTACTGAGTTACTGAAACAATTAACTTGCCTTCCCCTTTGCTCTAAGAACTGCAGTTGTTAATTTTATCAGACAAATACAAGTGGAAAAAAAGTTAGACTGTAACCCCAACTCTGTTCCTGAGAAGTCACACTTGCAGGCTCCTCTTTGAGGGCATCTGGTTTGTGGGAGCAAAGATATTGCATAGCAAGTGCCTTTCTGTAAAAGGCATGGTTCTGTAGGAAGGCTGAAAGCCAGCCATGGTGGTCCCTTGTGGCTGGTGAAAAACACAGGTCTCAGCTGTCCCCCCATTAGAATAACAGCTTGGTTTTTTCCCCAAGCAGCACTTTCAAACGCCATCTCTAGTCCTCCTTTGAACACACAGACAGCAACTACCTGATTGCAGCCAGGCCTCTGAACAATTGCTATGACAGCTCTCAGCTAGTTAATTACAACTACAATTTGTGGGGCAAATACATATCTATTTATTACCAAAGACTCATCCCACTTCCATACTAGTCCACTTTTTGATTGCTTGGCTGTCATTTACTGTCAGATTTGACAAGCAGGGAGGAGAACAGAAGAGGAGGCAGCTCAGTACAGCAACCATGGCAAAGGTTTGCAACCACTCTGAAGGGGGCTGCAATAAGCAACCAAGAAAGGGAATTCTGCTGTCAGCACAGTTAATCTACAGCTCCACTGGAAAGTTTTTCAGTGATCTGAAAGTCAAAACAGCACGAAACCCACAATTTAGTCTAGAAGCAGCAGACAAGGTGAAATCAGGACTGGATCAAGAGCTCAAAGAGGGAAGACTGAGCTTGGGAGCAAGTGGAGGCTGGAGAAAGGGAAGAGGCAAGGAGAGACAGGAGCTAAGGTCTTCTGCAGCAAGAGAAATAACTCTGATGGAGATGTGGAACCTGATGAAGGGAAACCAGGATGGGAATAAGCTGGAGGCATGGGGAGAGGAACAGCAAGACAATGCGTGTCCATGGATTACCTTCACAAAATCTCACACTGACTCTCACTATTCTCCTGCTTTCAGCAACTACCTAGTAAACCCACTTGGACAAATACGTCCCATTGTGCTTGTAAGATCACAGCAAATTAATTTCTACATTGATTGCTTCATGAACACAACTGGCAGACGTGGATCAAAAAGCACAGGCCTTGCTCAAAACTGCCATAGCTATCCAAATTTGATGTACAATTTTTCAGGTTGGCTTTCTCAAGAGTTCAGATGTTTCAACCCCTCTCAGGTAATATTAAAATAAAGTCAAGGCTGCAATGCCAGCTACTTAAGAAATGGAAATATATCAGAATTGAAGCAGTATGGACAATCTTTATTTTGCCTCTTTTTACATATGTATTACATGTTTTATCCTTTTAGGTCCCTTCACTTATTCAGTGCATAGGACGAACCTCCTCTAGAGGTGAAGAAAGTTCTTCTTGCTTCACTTCCTTCTGAAACTGGAAAGTAGACGGAACTATGATCTGAAGCCTGTCTTGGAAAACAGCACGCCAGACTTGTCTGTGTCACAGGTGAAACAACAACTATATGGGATCACTGCTCACGACTTGCCACATAACTTGCAAAAAACAGTACGAGGGAAATACTACGCAATGTAAGGAGTACAGGCAACGACTCCCTACGCATGCAGCAAGGGTAGCATTAAAACAGCACAGGCATCCTCAATACTAGCATTTCTTAACTCAAGCAGTTGACTTCATGCGCATGCCTGTCAGAAATCAGAAATTTGCTTGCCTTCAGAAATTAAATATAGCTTTGAAGGTCAGAATAACTATTCACTGGGTAATAACTTTTACCTTGGGATGCTTTTTGTTTTAAGGTCAAAATTAGCGTATTTACTATACAACTTCATGTACTATACATTATAAACATAATGTACAGAGCAGCTACCTGTGGCGAGAAATTTGATTAATGACAGGAATCCAAATTGTTTGGCAAAGCAGACTGCAAACAGCAAGCTAGTACAGGCAACTCTTACCATGCGAACAAGGCAATGCCTCCCCTGCTTCCCAACGCCAGCTGCCGGCAGAGGGCACAACAAGGTCTTAAGGAAAAAGCAAACCCCACAGCAAAGAAGCTTTCACTGTGATCAGTGACCTCAGGTTAATAGCCTGTATACTCAGCTTTATCCTGAGCCTTCCTCTTCCTTACAGCTAAGCCGCTGATCCCTCAGCTAGGAAGGCATGTAGCAAACGACATCTTTGAGCCAGGACACAAACGTGGGCTGGTTGTGCCTCCTGCCAACCAGAGTAATGGATACAGAGATGCCAGCAGAAAATTCTCTAGTAACTCTTCATTCGCAGACTTGCAGAAGAATAAGAAAACTGCCCAAGTGATAACATTAAAGATTTTATCACAAGGAAGCACGCACAAAGACGCAGATTGCTGCTACTAGCACTCCACATCCCAGTTCTCCTCAAAGGCCCCTTTTCCAAAGAGTCCCCACTCTCAAAGGCACAGGTCTAACTGCTGGGCTGATTCCCAGAGATCATGCCTCATTTCTCAGCTAAAGAGGACCAGCTGCTCCTCTGGGACTTTGTTACAACAAGCATTTTTCTAAAGGAAAAGACCCTAACTTAAAGCCAGTTAAAATGTCAGCAGCAGTCCTGCAGTAGTAATATACCAGCTAATGTCACAGGACACTATCAATAGTTCAATATTACTTTGAAATAAATATTCACAGAAATAAGAAATGACATGTTAATCACTGTTTCAACCCTTTGTGATGGGCAAAATAAATCTACTCAGACTGCTCAAACAGTGCCAGAACCTATCCCCACACACTCTGCTCCTCATACTGCTTGTGTAAGCTTCTCAGTAGTTGCCCAAGACAGCAAGGAAGGTTGTCCTGTCCTGATGAGACAGGAGGCAAGCTCTGTCTTTTGAAATCCATATCCTGTTCCTAGTTGAGAAAAATACTCAAGCAGGACAATCAGGTTACTGGAAGCTGAGAGTACATTTCAAAAGGATCAACTGGCTGCTTGGACATCTGCTCTCCTGAAATTTGCACCTGAGAAGTGCCAGCGGGTAGTGCCTTCATTAATTTTTTTTTTTTCCTGCTTTGTTGTTGCACCCACATACACTATTATCCTCTCCTCTCTAATATTCCATGGTATTTGGTTTCACAATGTGTTTATAAATAGCAGATATCAAAACCCTTGATAGAAGGCATCCCAATAGAGAAGGAAACTCAGCTGGGGATCTGAGGCCAGCTCTACATAACAACTTTCAACACACCTAGACCTTTAGCCGTCCTACATGACTACATTCAGCACATTTAGACCTTTGCCCATTCTCCATGATATCATCCAACATTTTTAGACCTTTGCCACAGTGTATGTCATCTACACTGAAGTTGCTGCATTGATGAAATTCCCAGTTTGGGTTGCAGTACCACCACTGGGTAGCCTTGCCACAGATGTGGCATGGTTGTCTATATAGTACACCAGACCAGTATATCACTGCACTTACACCCACCGTTCTGCTGGTAAACTGTTGCTTCAAACAAATTGATCTCAAATCTAAAAAAAAAAAATAAAAATAAATAAAAAATCAAAGCTTTGCTCCCTAAAAACTTGCTTTCTCTGACTTGAGAATGTTCTTTGAGACAATAAAGAACAGACTTTTCCAGCTGCCATTCCTCTCTGGCTACTACTGAATGAAGAAATGTTCAAGTTTTCAGTTACTAAGGGGAAAAAAAAAATCATACAAAACTCTATGCAACCTAAACTCTATGGATTACATTCTTTACTGGCAAAAGGCACTTTTTCTAAATTTTAATTATGGTATATCACCGAGAGGCTGTCAAGTAGAGTCAACATGCAAACAACACAAGGGCTCTGCAGGTATGTTCGGTAAGATCTAGTGGATTGTCCTCTTTCTTCATAATTATCTTTTTTAAAGTATTCTATAATTAAAAGAAAGCTTTTAATTGTACTGCACTCAAAAATCTAAATGCAAATTATAATTTTTTTTTTTTCCAATTTCAGCTACTCAATTTTATTTTTATATTTGCCAGGCTGGATTTCAAACATAACAAAAAAAAGGGGCACTTTCCATTATGTCTAATTAAAATACCAGGATGGCCATCTGTTGTTATAAAGATGTTAAGTAGATGAAGTCATTAAAGGCAGACTCTGTTGCCAAACAGTGACATTTCAGACACCCTAGGCTAATTGTCTGAGAGGTGGCCTGGCAGACAGGACAGAGAAGCTGTCAGGGATCTGCATGCTCTGGTTAAACAGCTAGGACACAAAGCGTCACT